TTTATCCCTTCTGAAAACGTTCACATCATTTTACTAACATTCTCATAATTTTCCATTTTTTTGTATGGTATATTAAGTTTGCCTTGATGTTTGTAACACCCAGAAGGAGACGTCGAAGACCTTATAAAATATTTACATACATATAAAGACAAATAATTGATATTTGTTTGTGATTCTAAACTTATACAAAAACAGCTGTGTTTTGTCGATTAATCCACTTATGTTTATCGATTTTTTAAGTTACAGCCACATGTGTCAGTAACAGTTCGTAAACTGAAAACTTTATCCCTTCTGAAAACGTTCACATCATTTTACTAACATTCTCATAATTTTCCATTTTTTTGTATGGTATATTAAGTTTGCCTTGATGTTTGTAACACCCAGAAGGAGACGTCGAAGACCTTATAAAATATTTACATACATATAAAGGTCTACCAACAAAAATGACGTGATGTTAAATGATGATGTTTTGATAAGAGATGATTTGCCGCTACAACAACAAATGAGAAATGAATTGAAATGATATAGTACATTCAAATTTAGCCAAAATGGGTTTTGTGTTTTTTGTGACTCAGATAATTTTATGCCATTTATGATTTGAACAAAATCCGGCTGGGATTATTCTGGGTTAAAAAGGATATGTGCGGATAAAGATTTTCCTATCGATTTACAATCTAAGTATACATATGTACATATATCGAACACTTGTCTATTTACAGAATTATTATATATGTATTTCGTATATTCGAGCCTATAAGATTTTGGGTCGGCTTTAGTATACCATCGATTTCAGGGTTAAAAGGGGTATGGTTGAATAGATATTCTTCAGATAAAGAATATATATAATTATAGCCGCCGGAAACTTATAGTTTTCAAGATATTTGCATATTAAGTTGAAAATTTCACAAATTTGATCTAACAATTTTTCGATTTATAGTTTATTTATCTTTTATATTATGCACTTAATCTACACTAACACTTCACTACATTGTTTCAACATATTTATTTTATATTAATGACTTTAATATTTGCTTGAAATAAGCATTTTATTTTTACACAATTTTCGTTATATCCACAATAACAAATGGGTTCCATGTTGACAGATAATAAGTGTTGCCATATTCAAACGAATGAAAGCAATCAAAATAAATAAAATACCCAACTACCCTCTACAAAATCTGATCTTATGAGACATGCTCCTACCTACCTTCTCCTCCGCATATTTAGGGCTGAATTTCGATGCTGTTGCACTTCAATCACATGATTACTATTGTATTATGGCGCACATTGAATTACCATATTTACTATTTCATTTAACATATTATAATACCAATTTTATTGATATATTATTTTAAACCATAGAAAATCTCAAGTATAATATATTAAATCTATGCGCTTTGTGTCTCGTTATTTCGCTTGGATAATCGTACATTTATGCCACCTTCGGCCATAATCGGCACACCAAAGTTAGCAATTTTGATTTCCCTCCGCACAGGATTTAATTCGATATTAAAGTTGAGCAATAACTTCGCCAAGGCGACTTTTGCATTAACCCTACCCATACGTTGTGCTGTTTAAAGCAAGCAAATATTAGGTTATTAAATAAATAAAAATTTCATAAACATATCAAAAAGCAATTAAATTACCGATGCAATGTCTGGGTCCTTCTCCGAATGGCATAAAAGCGGCAGGTTCGTAATTTTTATTTAAAATCCGATCTGGATCCCAACGCATAGGGTCCGGGAAATATTTTTCATCACGATGCAAACCCAATAATGAAATAATAATCGGTGTACCACTTTTAATTACCAAATTACTATCTGGTACTTGATAGTCCTGCGTGCACTGGCGGTTGAGAATCGGCAGACCGGGGTATTTACGCGTGGTTTCTACAATAAATTCACTTTAAATGCTTATATACAGTCATTAAGGAAATTGAATTACCCATTATGCAGAGTTCCAGATATTTCATATCCTGTACCGCTTCGTAAGTAAACTTATTGTCATGCCTTTCAATCGCTTCTCTTACATCACGCTGTGCTCTTTCCAGTGCTTCAGGATATTGCGCTAATTCAAAGGCGGTGAACGAAATGGTGGACGCTGTCGTTTCATAGCCAGCCACATAGAAGAGCAACAGATTGGAGGCAATGGTCTCAATTGACATGTGCTTCATTGCATCTGTAAATGTGGACGGTGCAAATACAGTTTGGCTAGCTTCAGAAAATATATGTATTTATGTACCTTTGTCAGTCGCTTTAGCAGACCAATCATTATCATTGTCGTTGACTTGACCTTTGTTGCGCAGTTGCATGAGCAGTTGAAGCATATCCTTGCGCGAAATGTTCTGCTCCTCACGCATTTCTATGGTACGTTTAACGATTTGCTTCATCATTTCGGGTGCCTTTTCACGCCAACCCAAACGTATGAAGAGCTTTTCCAAACTATAGTTAGTGATATAAAAAAATGTATGGGTTATAGTAAAAAATCACTGTAATAAAAAATAACAACAATTAAAATTTTTTTAACTAATTTAAAACAAGTAAAGAAGGGCTAAGTTCGGATGTAACCGAACATTTTATAGTCTCGTTTGAGAAAAAAAATATTAATACTAAATGACCGACATATTTGGCATACAACTGGTTAGAATAACGAAAAGAATTATAAGTAGTATATGGAAGTAGAGGGTAGTATTAACCCGATTTTATCAATTACTACTAACATGCTACAGACTGATAAAATGCTCCCACTGTTTCGCTCACGCAAGTAGCTCACATACCTTCACAAATCATATGGAGTAAAGTCAGACGAGTGTTCGAAAATCCTGATATTAGTTACATGGGGCTATGTAAATTTTTCACCCGATTTTGTGCCATTTTAGCCTTGTTATGAGTAAAACACGCTCTCTTATTTTCATTGACCTAACTCACATATTGGCCGATATATGTGGCATAAAGTCACCCGGAAGTTCAAAAAGCTTTATATTAGGTATATGAGGGCTATAGGAAGTATTGATCCGATTCAACCCATTTTTGACACAAAATCATACTATTATCGAGAGTTTCATTTATTTATTTTATTATATGAATTTCAATTATATATCTTACACATTGAATGATATTTTCGGTAAGAAGTCAACTATAGGCACTGTGGTCCACATATTCAGTACCTAGGAGCTTGAACAGTTTTGGTTCGATTTAAACAAATTTTGGTCACAAGGTGGCATACTTTAAACGCATTATTCACGCAAAGTTTTACCCCGATACAATTATTGTTGCTTGATTTGCATAGTGGAAAGTGAAAGAATCAGATGTAATTTAAAACGGTGTTATATGGGAAACAGGCGTGGTTGTAATCCGATTTCGCCTATTTTCGCACTATAACATAGAAATATGAGAAGAATGTTATGTATCGAATTTGGTTGAAATCGGTTTAGCAGATCCCAAGATATGGGGTTTCACCTAAAAGTGGTCGGTGCCACGCCCACTGTCTTGTATCTTATTGTGTAATCGTCTCAGAAATGAAATCAATAATAAACAAAACCTTATCTCCGCTACTTGTTTCTAAGTTCGCAAAAGTAAATACAATCGTCTTAGTTAGTTAATTTATTACTTAACTGATATACAGTTAGAATATTTTATTATGAATTAATTCTTGTTTAAAATAAATATTATGATATTTAAATAAATTGATTAACTGAGAAAAAAAACTCACCTGGGAAATAGCAGTTGACATGTACCGCGTACCACACTGCCGAGCGTTGGCTCGTTTAGTTTACGACTTATATTCCTTATGGGGTTATTTGGTTCTGTAAAGCTGTTCACTTCTAAACCCAGAAGCACCGAAGCAATGATGTCTATAGCAAAGCTGGAAAATGAGTATATCAAATTAAAAATTCAACACTGCACCTTTTCGTACTATGCTAGTATAAGGTCAAGTTCATACTGTACAATTAATGAAAACGCAACAAGAGTACTTGTATGTAGAAAAACATACTCAAAATTAAGATTTATTCACTCACGTGCTCGTTACATGCCGTAATTCCAATTCTTTTGAACCAACGTCGGGTAGCTGTGCATTCACATAGTTGACCATTCTATCGCCCACATCCTCGACGGTATCAAACATGGCTTTTAATTTTCCCGACGTAAATAACGGTGTCATTTTCACTCGCAAACTCTTCCAATCCTGTCCTTTTAGAAAGAACAAGCCACCACTGGCTTGTGGATCATCTTCATCGTCGACATGTATGCCACGATCGTGAAAATTATCGAAATGTTTCACCAATATATCTCTCGCCAATTGTGCATCGCGTACTAATAAAACTGGTCGTGTGATTAGATAGATGCCCAACACTTTGTCCTTAGTGCTGCGATAAACATCGAGAATGGCAGTGCCAAATGCAGCTTCACGCTTAAAGACTGGATCTAATACTGCGAATGGGATTTTCGGCTCAAGGTAAGGAAAGCCTTTACGTTTCCAATATGTGAAAATCCATTTAATGTAAAAAAACGAGAGTGTACAAACGGCTATTAGAAGTAATAAAAACATATTTCGACACAAGACAAATTTGCCGCAACCGTTAATGTGGAACGCGTCGAAGGAACTGAAATTATAACACTCTGTTGATTAATTTTATAGGTAGTGATAAGAAAATACTTACAGTTTGTATAAAGTCTTTATATAAATATGTATGTATACGGGTATTGAGTAGTGGCATTCACATATTGCAGTCCTGATTGCAGCTGGAGTATTTCACAATCAGTTCTTAACTTTTCTAAAAATATACAATAATATTTGTTACTTTTAATTATTGTTTTAGAGCATTTATTATGTTTATAGTCGCCATTTTCTAAATGATTCAACAGTTTATGTGATGTATAGCTGTTATCAAAATAATAGAGTGCTGTTGCATATCTACCTTCTACTTCTATTTATATTTATTATATACCCTGGACAGTGTGTAACACCCAGAAGGAAACGTCACGTCGGAGACCCTATAAAATATATATCTAAATGATCAGCGTGACGAGCTAAGTCGATTTAGTCATGTCTGTTTGTCCGTCTGTCTGACCGTCTGTCGGTACAATATATGTATATATATGCGGACCCGTCTTTCTTTTGAGATATCGTTGTGAAATTTCGCACCCGTTCTTTTCTCACTAGATGCTGTTCATTTTCGGAACCGCCCGATATTGTATCACTATAGCATATAGCTGCCATACAAACTGAAGATCGGTATCAAGTGCTTCTATGGAAAACTTTTTAATTTGACGAGACATCTTCACGAAATTTGGCATAGGTTATTATCTAAAGCAATAATGGAAACTCCAAAGAAATTGTTTAGATGGAATCATTGTAGCATATACAGTTACTGACAATAAAATAGAATAGATCTATATTATTTGTCCGATAAATTTCGGTTGGGTTTTGCCTGTAATCGATTCCTACAAAATTTATCTTTTAAAACACCATGATGGTAGCTCTGTAACATTTTACTGTTATAACTTAACAAAAGTGTGCATTTGTTGTCGTGCCAAAAAATAGAACCAAGAAATTTAAATATCAATTATAGGCGTAATGTAGTGAAAAATTATAAAAGTGGCGTAAGAGCCTTTGATTTGATGAATCTAAAATAAATATGGTAGGTAGCGATGGAAAAGATTTCGTTCGACGGCTGAAGAACGCTGCCATGAATCCCCGATACACGACAAACATTTTCAAACAGGTGGTAATATCAAGATATGGGGATGTTTTTTGGGGTACGAAGTTGGACCGCTGTTTGGGATTTGGCAAATTATGAACCGTTATCACTACCTTAGAGTTTTAGAAGATGTAATCTGAAGATTAGATCGGATAACTATGGCTGCCATACAAACTGAACGATCGGAATCAAGTTTTTGTAAAAAATAAAAGCCCAGCAGCTTGGATTCAATTTGAAAACGATATACATTCTACATACTTATAAATAGATTATGACGAATACAAACATAATGGCCACAGAACAGTTGGACGTACTCGCTCCTCAATTGTTTACCGACAGTTTTTGAATTGTCTGTAACGCTTTATTTATCATGACATATGTAAATGCTTGTATGTGTGCACATTTGTGTAGACATTTGCAACAAATTATTAGTATTAGTATTGTTGATTTTCCAATATCTTCGATTTATGCGCAATGTATCGGATTTCGCTTCGATAACCGTACATTTATGCCACCTTTGGCCATAATCGGCACACCAAAGTTAGCGATTTCGATTTCTTTACGCTCAGAATTCAATTCAACGTTAAAGTTGAGCAGCAACTTCGCTAAAGCGATTTTTACGATTATTCGACCCAAACGTTGTGCTGTTGAAAATTGAAAAATATTAAAAAAAATTAATTAATTATTTCAAGCTAAATACTACATAACTGTCTTACCGATGCAATGTCTGGGACCTGCACCGAATGGCATATAAGCGGCTGGCTCATATTTTCCATTCAAAAATCGTTCTGGATCCCAAAGCATTGGACCTGGGAAATATTTTTCATCACGATGTATACCCAGCAGCGAAATAATAATGGGTGTACCATACTTGATCACCAAATCACTATTTGGTAGCGGGTAGTCGTGCGTGCATTGACGATTGAGAATAGGTAGACCCGGGTATTTGCGTGTAGTTTCTGCAAAAATTTTTCTTTAAATCATTTATTGTGAGAATTTAATTAATTTTTACCCATTATGCAGAGATCCAGATATTTCATATCTTGTAGCGCTACATATGTTAATTTGTTATCGTGCCTTGCGAGTGCTTCCCTTACATCGTGCTCCGCTTTTGCCAGTGCAACCGGCGATTGCGCCAATTCAAAGGCTGTAAAGGAAGCGATAGAGGCAGTCGTTTCATAACCGGCCACGTAGAAAAGAAATAAATTGGTGGCAATTAATTCAATGGACATGGGTTTCGGCACAACTATGGAAAGCGCGTGAAATGAAAGAATTATAAAAACTTGCGACGTGTACACCATGTCAAAACTTACCTATGTCAGTAGGTTTTGCAGACCAATCATTGTCATCAGCGTTAATTTGACCTTTGTTGCGCAGTTGCATGAGCAGTTGAAGCATATCCTTGCGCGAAATGTTCTGCTCCTCACGCATTTCTATGGTACGTTTAACGATTTGCTTCATCATTTCGGGTGCCTTTTCACGCCAACCCAAACGTATGAAGAGCTTTTCCAAACTATGGAGAGAAATATGTTAAGAAACTGGATATTATACATTTTGTTGCAATAAAAAGTTTAGTTTCATATGAAATGAATTTTATTTAACTAGGTTCACACTCGAAAAAGACATTTTGCCGTTCGATATTAAAATCGATATCATTTAGCAATCATTCGGAAAGACACCTACATTTTCACATCATTCACGTAATATAGTTTCCACGATGTTAAACTTACTTAATATTATTTAAAGAAATTAAAAAAGAGGTTTTGCCGATTTGAATCTACAAGAATGTTACTGATAATAAATGTGATAAATTATTCGACATTATCAAATTATTGATAATGGATTGGGGCTTGTACTAATTTTTTTACCCTGAACAGGGTATATTAAGTTTGCCACGAAGTTTGTAACGCCCAGAAGGAAACGTCGTAGACCCTATAAAATTTTTATATAAATGATCAGCATGATGACCTGAGTTGATTTAGCCATACAACTGAACAATCGGAATCAAGTGCTTGTATGGAGAACTCTTTCATTTGACATGGTATCTTCAATTGCAATTTTTGGAGAAATTGTATAGATCAGATGACTATAGCATTTAGCTGTCATATTAACTGAACGATCGGAGTAAAGTGCTTGCATGGAAAACTTTTTTACTTGACGAGGTATATTCACGAAATTAAATCGGTATCAAATTCTTGTAAGGAATCTTTGTATTTTGTGAAGGGTGTTATAGTTTCGGTGCAATCGAAGTTCACGTTTTTTCTTGTTTTTTTTTTAGAATGTAAGCACACCCATTTTTTCACTTCTTACCTGGGATATAGAAACTGACATGTGCCGCGCACCACACTGCCCAAAGTGGGTTCGTTGACTTTTCTGCTCACATTTAGTATTTCATTACTTGGCTCAACAAAGCTGTTCACCTCCAGTCCGAAAATCACCGATGCAATGATATCAATAGCATAGCTAAAAATATAAAATTATTTAACACACTTCAACTTATAAACATATTTTGGAAAAGTAACGTTAAAACTTTTTTAAATTTAATTCCGAATATACCACCATGTGAATAACTCACGTGCCCATTACGTGCTTCATTTCAAACTCTATAACGCCTTCGTCTGCCAACTGTGTATTCAAAAAGTTCACCATTTTATCACCTACATCCTCGATCTTGTCAAACATGCCCTTCAATTTTCCCGACGTAAATGATGGCGTTAGCTTTAAACGCAAACTCCTCCAATCCAGTCCTTTAAGAAAGAAAATGCCACCCCTCGATTGTGGATCTGCCTCATCATCTACATGTATGCCACGATCGTGAAAACTTTCAAAGTCCTTCGACAGTATATCCCTCGCTAATTGCGCATCGCGCACCAGCAAAGCGGGTCGTGTAATTAGATAAATGCCCAACACTTTATCCTTGCTACTGCGATAAACATCGTAGATGGCAGTGCCCAAGGAAGCTTCACGCCTACGTACTGCATCTAGCACACCAAAGGGTATCTTCGGTTCGTGGTAGGGGAAGCCCTTGCGTTGCCAATATGTGTATGTCCATTTTATGTAAAATATTGCAAGCGCACAAGCGGTAGTTAAGAGCCACAAAAACATTTTTATAACACTCACTTAATTGCGGGAGCCACTGTTTTAAATGTTGTGCTTAATCACTGAAATCTTATGTTGTCCGTAATGGCGTTTTATAGCTCTTCTCGAAGTGATATCTTCAAAATTTAATAGGGGTATTCACAACATGTGACACATTGTTATTATTGTGCGTTTATAATCACAAAACTAATCATGTTTATCCATTATGTGCCAATTATGTGTTAGTATCAGTTTATATGTTTGTATCGATAAAATCAGCGTCGATAGTAATTTTCGTACGTTGAAATAAGCTCTCTGCTGTTAGTCCCAGGAAGTCTACAAATCGTCAGCTAAGTTGCGAATAAATACCATTTTTTTTTACAAATTTTAGTTGTGTGAATACCCCATTAACGTTATCAGTTGTATTTCAATATTTGATACTGGCTTTAATTTATTTAAATATTGAATTTTACATATTTTATATAGATATATGGTATACAGACATATGTATATCTTGGCATTGCTTAATTTGGATGACTTGTCAGTTTTATTTTAGCACGTTTTAGTTGGCACAAATATTTGGCTTACAATTCGGTCAGCTGACTCAAGTATACATACCGTTTTTACTGCTATCGATATCATTATTTCATTCTTTTACGAAATTTTTGCTCTTGCTAATGATTTAGACGTCTGGTTCATAACATTTTAAAGTCTGTCAGTGTTGCTGAGATTTTTTTATTCTGAACAGGGTTTATTAAGTTTGCCACGAAGTTTGTAACATCTAGAAGGAAACGTCTGAGATATACATAAATGATCTGCATGATGAGCTGAGTCGATTTAGCCATGGCCGTCTGTCTGTTTGTTCGTCCGTCCGTTTGTATATACTTGTACTAGTCTCTCAGTTTTTGAGATATCGATCTGAAATTTTGAACTATAGCATATGGCTGCCATGAACGATCGGAATGAAGTGCTTGCATGAAAAACACTTTCATTTTACGTGCCATACAAATTGAACGAACGCAATGAAGTTTTTATAAAGAATATTTTATATTTGTGAAGAGTATTATAGCTTCGGTGCGACCGAAGTTAACGTTTTCTCTTGTTTATGTTCTTATAGTTTACAGCTATAGTTATCGTTATTAGTGAATTAATGACAGCAAGTGTATTGAAAGCAATAAGTGTATTGCTATTACTAATAAGAAACTTACAAACAGATATATATATAAATATGGTGCTTGCTTATCAGTTGGCGTTGGTTGATGATGACTTGCATTCTTCATTTTGCATGTGTGTGTGCCACATGTTTTGATGAGAAACATAATAGTGAAAAAACAATTAGTAAAAAACATTGCGGCTTATTAGGCAAGGTTATTACAATTTAATGGAGGCATAGCAAGCAATAAAATCCTTGCGTTATTTTTCGTCGAAATATTTTTATTGCGTTATATAAAATTAGAAAAAATTTGATAGTGAACGGATCTTTCGTCTCCAAATAATCAGTCTAGCATATTTAAACCATTTAGTGATCGAACTGAACAGCTACACTTTAGAGGCAGCTGTCAATTAGGCACAAATAATATTTGTATATATATATACGTATATATAAAATATATAAGACTTTTTGAAAAAATTGAAATAAATTCTAAATAATAGTTGAAATACTTGTGTACACTATTAAACAAAATTTACGAACTGCAAACTAAATATTCCATCAAACTGGCCTTATGGCGATAAGCAAAATGATGAGTTGAATTTTGACTGTTTTTTTTTGCGACTAAGTGTAATGTGTAAACAATTGAAAACCGCAAAATTAGCTTGCAACAAAAGATCAATGGCTAAAAGGTAATTCAGTGAAGGCCTAACAATTAACATAAATTTAAAGTGCCAAACATAAAATCTGCAAATTGTTCATGCCATAACAGGTGGGGGAAGGCGGTGAAGCAATCTGATGGCTGCTTTTTGTTTTTGTTTTTACCCTCGAAATTACTTCATTATTATTAGTGGAAGAGCATGAATTTATTTATCATCATTATTGTGTGGAAGAACTAGTTTTTATGTTGCGACGTGAACGCGAAATGGCAACGAATTGTGTGCGAAATGTGAATGGCCCAACGAGGCAGCGCCAAGCAACAGCACCCAAGTATATACATACATACAAGTATTTATATGTATATATCTGAGTAGATAGCTAGTTATAGTCGACGAGCTAGGCAGGCAACAACGGTATGCGTAGTGAATGCCATGATTTATACACAAACACACACACACAAACAAAGCAACAGAGTTAAATACATATTGTAGCAACTACTAAAAGGTGAATGGCTTCTACACTCGGCTGAGCTAGTTGTGCGCCATAAAAAAGTGGCACTTTGAGGCAATGAGGATGCTGGTTGGTCGTTTGGAGGTTGTTCTCGTTAAATTCTACACGCCAAATAGTCGAAAATTTAAATTGTGAAAATAACAGCAAGCTGCATGCATACTACCATGTTCACACTAATCTACACACACATACACAACTGCATATATACATATGTAGCAATACAAATGCGTACATATAAATTAATAAAGAACAATTCCTTGACCGAAGTTGCTCACCTTAAACATAAACGCTCACATAAACAATAAACAATCAATTCACACATATTTTTTCTTGCATTACTATAAAACGTTTACACACATACACGCATATACATATGTATATACATATAACTGAAAAAATAAATAAATATGTTTGTGTTTGGTATTAGTAGAGCTTGCTATTTCAGCCACGGTTCAATAAGCTTTTAGGCGAAATTTATTTAAAATTGCCGAAAACCGTGAACACTACACTTAACAGTTACGTTCATAATAATACCGATTAACTTAGTGACCTAAATTTAAAATTTTACAGGATAAATAAAAAACTCTTCAGCTACAGTACATTGGCTTAATTTAGACTCTTTTTCATCCTTAGCAATTTTTTAAACTTACATTTTCTTGTCGTTTTCCGCAGTTAAACTTTTTGAAAAACCCATTTCTCACAAAATTTTATTTTATTTTTTGAATTAATTATACTGATTTCACAGTCTCAAATCAATTTTTTATTTTGCAGCTTCTGATAAATTCATAAGTTCAATAACCTTGAAACCGTTTAAAACAGAAAAAATTTTCTGTTGTTAATAAAATTAAAATTTTTGATTAAAGAAAATTATTTTCTTTTAATTTTTGTTCATTTGGTTAATGTATGCGATAATATTTTCGTTATTGCGTTACGTAAATTGTTACTAAAAGCTTTTTCCAGGAAAATTAATAAATTAAACCTGGCACGACTTTGTAAACAGGCATTAAACGAAAATATGTTTGTACAACCGCGCTGTAACTGTTTATCGTTATCGAAATCGATATTATCACCTCAAAAGTTTTAAAGCGAATTTTTAATTTTAATTTTTTTTTTCCTTTTTTTATATTATTCTTGATAAGCTAAGTAATGCCGTTTTCTCTATCCTCATTCTAGCATCTGCTGATCTTTGTGGCTTAACTTCTTTTCTTCATTACTCATAAAATCCAACTATTTAATATATCAGGTAAGAAAAACGTTTAAACCATATTTCTTTTTATCTATGTACATTTGCATTTTCTTTTATATAGGTATTTTCCTTCATGCTCATCCTTTTTCTGTTTATTTAGCTTTTGTACCGTGATTGTTGTTAAATTTGATAATGAAAATTAACTAAAAATTAAAATTTTTACATTTTGGATAACTATTTTAAAAAATGATATGCTGGCAACCCCTTTAAACTACCAGCTCAATTTTAACATATTTTATAAAAAAAAAAACTATCATAGAGTTTTTTATAGTTCGTGAAGTTAAATTAAACTAAACTATCTTTTAGTATGATGCTCTGCTATCTCCGATCGTTTTCATTGTTACTAAAAAACTTATGGACTTAATTTTAATTAATGTCTACAGTAAACCAATTTTAAAAAAGGATTATCAGATTTTTTAAATCTAGAAAAGTAGTAGTATATAATACAGCGTTATTGAATCAGCTGATCACATAAACATTATGCATTCTCATGAACTTATATTCTCTATGCTCGTAATCGTACCTTTTTATGCTCATACTTTACAAATTGTATGTAGCGGAAGCGCCTTGAAGCAACTGTAAAATTGTAAGTGCCATAATGTTATAATTATCTTCAGAAATTGGCTTTGCAATACTACAAAAAGAATGCCGCTAATATTTTATTTACATATTTGCTTGGTGGGGGAGACAATTTCTATTGCCTTGCGGCACAAAAGCAATTTTCCAAATGTCACCACAGTCAGTAAAAGCACTCAATTTACGTTTGAAGAAACAATAAACAAATGTTGTTTTCTTATAATAAGCTGAGCTAGTGTCACTGCGGTGGACAAGTGTGCTCTCAGCATTAGCTTATGAGAATTGGTTTAAGAATTTCAAGAGCAGAGCATACATGTGGCCAGCAAGTTTTGCAGTCGCGACGTTGGCGTTGTGAGAATTCCCATGCTGAGCAAACGCTTGACAGCCGTCTGAAGGGGTGAAGGTAGTGAGTTAAAAGCGTACGTATACACACGCATACCATACACTTGTATGGTGCAGAGAAGACTCTTTTGTAAATTTTGATTGCGGCGCTATTTTTTTTTGTTTTTGTAAATTGCAATTCTCACAACAAATATTATACATTGTGCTTTTGCGACACAGTAATGCAACAACCAACAGCAGTTTTACTCGTGTAGCAACAACAATTCGTGCATATATTTCCGATGCTCCTACTATCATTGGGTGAGCAACAGCTTCGCCAGCTATTCGCTCAGTCATCAGCTGCTGCGCTTAGAGAGCAGTAACGCGAGTGTACTCAAATGTTAAAGCGACAATCTTTACATATGCACATATGTGCATATACGTGTACAACAACGATAAGAATATAATAAATTTAAAAAAAAAAGTGTTTGACCAACGTAAGCCAATCACAAAAGTTTTATGCAGTTTGCTTAACGTCAATGCCGCTATTTGTCGTAACTTTTTAATATGAACTCTTGCCTTTTAATAAAATTTGTATGAAGTGTTGATAAGTTCTATTTACTGTTACTCAGCAGAGCACTGAAGCTGTTACATTTTACCATAGGAGAAACAACAAAAAGGTGGAGCTAAACGCGACGGTATTCAATACTACCGCTTTATTTCGGATTTCCTCTCTCTTCCCCATCGTTAAAACGGCTGCTGGAAATTTTATTGTTTTTGTTGTTGTGCTTAGTTTGGGTCAGCGGTTTTCACTGTCCGCCCCTCAACGTGCTGTTTGTCGCGCACAAACAATCATATCCGCCTACCGCATCTGTGCTTTTCATCTGGTTTTCTATACTTGCCTTGCCTTTACATACTCGTATGTACATACATATGTGAGTACACTGTCGTCTCTAGTGCGGTTTGTTGGCCGACGACGACACCGTTGCCTAGTGCATATGAATATTTGCCGCTTGCGTAAGTCGCCAAAGTCAACAATATCTAACCTTCGATTGACAAATATTGGCTTTTTTGTAATAGAAACTATATTTTTCAATGGAATACCTTCGCAAAAGTAATTCAAATACAATTTAGTCGCTTTTTAAAAAGTTCACACGTGCTTATGTATATTTGTTTGTTTGTTCATATAACATATGCTGTTTTTTTTTAAATTTTTTTTATTTATTGTGTAAATTGCAAAGTGTGAAACGATCGGATTTTATAGCAAACATTATGGAAATTATATGCATACATTTGTGCAAAAACATATTGC